GAGGCCCCACCTGGAGTCCTGTGTCCAGTGCTGGGCTCCCCAGTGCAAGAGAGACATGGCACTACTGGAGAGAGTCCAGCGGAGGGCTACTGAGATGAAGGGACTGGAGCATCTCTCCTATGAGGAAAGGCTGAGGGAGCTGGGCCTGTTCAGCCTGGAGAAGAGAAGACTGAGATGGGATCTCATCATTGTGTACAAGTATCTGAAGGGAGGGTGTCAAGAGGATGGGGCCAGACTCTTCTCCGTGGTGCCCAGGGACAGGACAAGAGGCAATGGGCAGAAACTGAACCACAGGAAGGTCCATCTGAACTTGAGAAAAAACTTCTTCACTGTGAGGGTGACTGAGCCCTGGCACAGGTTGCCCAGAGAGGTAGTGGAGTCTCCTTCGCTGGAGATATTCAAAACCTGTCTGGATGTGATCCTGGGCAATGTGCTCTAGAGGACCCTGCTTGAGCAGGGGGACTAGATGATCTACAGAGGTCCCTTCCAACCTTGGCCATTCTGTGATTCTGTGATTATTCATTATTTGTATATTATTGGTTTTCAGACTGCCTTTGCTGGCATCACAGCTTTTTGTCCTTGGCACCTGTGAAAAACATAGCAGAATATGAAGGTAGTTGTTCTTTTAAAAAGTTTTTTAGACTATGGATTGCATAAGCCTGAGCATGTTAAAAAAAAAAAAACCCAAATGTAAGCATGTAAATTAGGTACATGTTCAAGTAAGAGAGTAACTGGTACTCAAATACCAGGGACACATACATGCACCTCTGTAAACTCAGTAATTTTATTTAGCTCCTACAAGCAAAATGGTGCCTTAATGCAACACTTCTCCTGAGATGTAAAGAGAAAAAGCTAAGAAGCTCAAAATTGTACATCTGGCAGCAAATAGCTCTCAGTCCTTTTTGTATGCATTTACTTCTAGGCAAGCTATTTACATCCCTGCCATATTATGTACACATAATGTGACCAAGGGACAGAGGCTGCACATATGCAAATAGGTTTCCAACCTCACAAGGGCACAATCGGACAAAGGTGTTGAAAGAACATGTAGCCATCAGGCAAAATATAGAAAGGTTGCAGTTTTAATCATAACCATTACGGTTTGGAACATACCATCCCTATTACAGTGTACTTTCTTTGAGGGTCTCAAGAGACTGAACACTTTTTGTTACCTAAACAAACCACCCTCTTTGCAACTAGGCAAGAATTATCACCCTCTGTATTTACTACAAATGAGGCATGGAGGTGTAGGACGGTTTTGCTGTTAAAGAGAGATCTCGGAGAAAGACGAGCAATGTAACAGGACAGGGATATTCTAATCCTCAATGCTGGGGGACTATGCAGAGGATTTGGTTCAGTAAGGCACTGATTTCTAGGTTACATGAAAATGCTAATCTGTAAAAAAATACAAATAAATCTGCAGTGATTTCACTGGCCAAACCAAAGATATGGAGTCAAGAACTGACAAAACATAGAAGGAATACACCAGCTTCCCTTACCATTTTCCCAATCATCATAACATATGGTCCCAAATACTTGTTTACTCCGAAGATGTCTAACAACCGTATATACCAGTAAATGATGTTAACACAGTATATCACTCGGCCATCACTCCGGAGAGGCAGATCTTGCAGACGGAGCACCATCCCAATGGAGAACAGGAGAATCGCTATGAGATCAGTAACGTTCCAGTACTCCTGGAGCCAAACTTTTACTTTCTGTAACAGTTTCCCGGGCTCCGACATCAATATCTGAAGGACATAGGACATGGAGAGAAAAAGAGCTGAGTTGTCTTAATTTAAGCCTGAAGTAAATCTATAGTAAACAGACATCTAGCACACAGGCCAAAAGCAAAGCTGATAGACTCCTGTCATATAAATACTTTATGTACTCTCTGATTTTCTTGAGAAATCTTCCATTTCGGGCATCTTATTCTGTATCTATGTGCAAGATTCTTAAAAAAAGAAAAAGAAAACTCTCTCACTCACTCTGAAATCCTTGTGAAATTAGAAAAAATATAGTAACTTCTTTTTGCTTTTCAAATTGTCAGACTCTGATTAGAATTTTGGAACAGAAGGAGAAAGATGGAAAGATATTTAATCAGAGAATTCACATTTAAATAAGCTATAAAGTGTTTTAAAATGTGTATCAAAGTGCCAAGAAATATTTAATGACCATAAAGTCCCTGATTTAGCATTTAATCCAGAAAAGACCAGCTACTACTGGGATCTGCTTTTGGAAATTCAGTTCCACAGCTGGGATGACAATTCATAAAAATAATTAATCTTACCTTATGAATTTATCATCATTCTATTTGCAAGATCATTTGGGAGAGCTGATTGTTTTCCTGAATTACTGTTGAAACTGTTCCTCAAGTGATTTCTATGAATAATTCCTAGCTTTTAGTTAGTTAGCAAGCTATTTGTTTTTAGTTTTCTATATTTAGCTTGAGAGTGTTTGAGCAGATTCATACAGTTCCTTAAAAAGACAAGTGCAATTCTTACAATTTTCTTATAATTCATTCTCAGGATGAATTTTAGGCTCATCTTCGATGAACAATCTCCAATATCCACTTAGAAATCCATCCCCACAAATGTTCTTGATAAACTTTTGTGGAAAGGACAATTTGGGATGAGTGATTAGATAAAAATGGCACACAATTCCTGCCAGCAGTCTCCCACCTACTGAGCCAGTGGCGCTTTGTCTCTGTCAGTGCTGCAGAGCCCTCGTGTGGCTCCCGTCTCTATTTCCCTTTTCCTTTCAGTTAGTGAAATAGGCCATGGAATTAGTGTCTTTCTCTCTCTCAGTACCTCTTCCTTTTATTTATAATGTAGAGTTTATCGCACAGTGTTTGACATCTATCTGTGAAGTCTAATCGGCTGTTTCAAGATCACTTTTCCTCTAGCCCTCAAAAGCATTTAAAAGAACATTTGCTGTGGAGAATACATATATAGATGGCAACAAATTCAGCCCAGGGGTACAAATGTGCTGTTTCAGATGAGGTCAACGGGAGTCGCACTCACTCACATCAGGGCTGAATTTGGCCTCTGGTGTCATTGTGGAATAAATGTGTATTTGGCCAAGTGAAAAGGGCACAGCGGCCGCTGGGAGTGGGAGAGACCGCAAGGGGCAGGGGATGGCAGAACAGCTCCACACTGCATACAGACTGAGCGCCACCTTAAATAGTCTCTTTGTTGGACATGCTTTAGCATCTTTAGGGAGATGCGTGCAATTAGTTGACATAATTAGCAAGAAATTTCAAGATAAAAAGGGGGAAAACCTATTAGAAATGTGTTGCAATACTCAATATGGATCTAAATTTCCCCACAGTTAGGGCTGTTTCTATTTAAAGCCTTTGTATGGCATAGTTGGGACAGACAGAACAGCTGTAAATTTTGAAGGAACTCTATTTGGGGGAGGGGGAGTTAAACATGGCATTTTTGGCTGGCATCCCATCTCCATATTCATTCCATATATCCTTTCTCCTTTCCCTCTCCCTAAAATGTACTTCAATTCCCTGGCCACACTTCAAGGAATATGGCAAAGCTTTAAGATATGTCAGAAGACCACCATATACTTATGAATGCTATTAAACTTGCATCATGTGGAAATCTGAACAGAGAAATTCCATGGGAGAGAGGTTTTTATGCAGAGGAGGAAAGAGACAGATTCTTGGTTTTAAAATGGAGGAAGATAGAATCTTTAACTCTTTGTTTTTAACAATCCATCTGCTTTTTTGCAAAAAAAGCAATTTTATGATAAGCCCATCCTTCAAAAAAATACCTGGAGAAAAATAATAAAACCAGATATTAAAATGAAAAAAGCATTTATTTCCTTTTTCACTCTGTCTTTCTTGGTTGGGTTGATTTTACCTCTCTCATCTTCTCTATTCCCAGTGTGAAAATGTATGAGATGACAATCCATTCCTGTGTAGATGGCCAGCGATCCATCTTCACTAACACTATATAATTGAACAGCATCAAGTAGCCTATATATGCCAGCTGTAAGGAAACAAAAAGAATATCAATAATCACTACATTTATGCAGCTCAGACAGTTTCTCAGGCATGGTTAGATATTCTTAATTCCAGTGTAACTGGAATTAAACAGACAAAAGAACAATCAGACAGTGCTCTGGGTTCTCTGAAAAAGCTCACATTAAATCACATACAAAGTGGAATCTGCAAAATAAATGCCTTAATATCTTCTCTCCCACCTACATCTGACTCCTCAACAAAACTGTATTAATGCAGCCCCCTGGATCATCCCACAGTGGTGGGAACTCTGATACCTCAATGCCAACTACCACATACTGACTTATTAAGTCACCTATGTGCATATTTCTGCGTAGCCCACTTCTAACACCCTTTACTCCTCTAAAACTCCCCTTCCTTGGTTTTTATCCTTGTTCATCTAACCTGGGCTCACTCTGACTTTCCATGCCCTTTTTGCACAATCCTTGTCTGACCCCTAGAAAGTCCTAAGTGTTGCTAACGATCTCCCTACCCAGTGTAGTATTGACTTAACCTGTACCATGACTCCTTCCCTAAACACTGCTACTCCTACTGATCTTACTGCTGCAAGTAGCCATACATTCTCATCTTCTATTTTTTTGCAAATTTTTAAGTACAACCATTTTGCTTCTACTTCTCTAATATATTTGCCTTCTGCCCTAATCTTTGACATAGTGAAAAGTGCAGATTATGTTTTTGGTTTCTTTTTCCTTTTTCCTTTCTTTCTACATGCCCAGTCTAATCAAATGGTCAATAATAAAAAAAAAAGGCAAAGCATATCATCAAATTCGCAAATTCAGAGAAGCCCTGATGCCATAGCGGACCATGGCCTGTAGCAAGGGTGAGTGGCTGGGGTTTGTGGTGGCCAGAATCTAACTGTGATTACTTCGCAACAGCAGTCCTACAAGAAAATGCATCTTAAGCAAATTCAGATCAGAGAAAACATCATTCAATCCTGTGCACAGATATTCTGATCACAATCTCCATTGTTGCAGAAAGCTTACTGAATACATCTATATTTCAAACAGAAGTTTTTATCTTATGCATTTTACTTACAACTATTTGTTTACTCAGTATCAAGTTTAAGATGTTGCAATTGTTAGAGGGGCTTGGGACTTTTGGGTAGTATTATTCCAGTGTTCAGCACCTCACAGAACAGGATTTAGAGTCTTGTTCTATATGCTAGAAAAAAATATTTCTGCACTGTGTAAAAGCCACAGGATTTTGGCTTTCATTTCAGTTGCTGATTTGAAGGATACTCAAGAGAATTCTTTAAATTGCCCATAACTATCAGCACAGATAAGACAGTTGAATCACTGGTTCTCATCTACTTAAAATGGAGGAGGAAATGATCTCATTTGTCTTTTGGTTTGTGCATGATGATGGATTGCAATGCCCAGATCTAGAGCTATCTTAGCCTTTCCTGAACACTCCTGAAGGAAACAGAGCAATACTGACTTATGTCAGCATCTAGGGCATCGCATGAGTCAGCTGAAACCCTGTTTGGACAGGGAGAACTGGATACATGCCTCTCCAGCTGAAGGAACACCTTCTACCATACTGCAAAAAGCCAAGTGGCAGTGTCAGCTAATGTCCCCCTTGGAATGTGCTTATAAGATCTTGTTAAAAACTAATTAGTAGCAAATCTTACTGATTTATTTTGACTCATAAACCTTTACTGAACTTTTGTGGTTAGTATGGCAAAAGAATAGGGACATTAAAATAATAGAAACCACAAGACCCTTAGTGTAACTACAGGTCTTTGCTTTTTCTTAATTTTCTGAGATTTTGTCAACCCAAATTTACTGAAAATTACTGAAAATTTTCAGCTGGCAAAAAGAAATTGCATCTTGATTTAAGAATCGAATGATGCTGAAGCAGTGCCCCTTTCGCCCAAGAGACCAGCCCTTCAGGCTGCCGGTGACACCTTCCCTTTCCCTCCTTGAGCCTGTAACTCTGCCCTCCCAGGAGTGCGTCCTGCTCCCACACTACTGTCAAATCTCAGTGCAGCTGCCAATGCTGGTACACAAGCTTCTTCAAAAGTGCTACTACATAAGTAGTTGAACACTCTTTTTTTCTGCTTTTACATGGTTTGGTGGAGAGCTAGCAGCTGCTCTTCCCACGCTTGAAGGCAGTGCCTGAAGAAACTAAGCACAGGAACGTCTGCTAGGCTGGGTTACTCCTTGCCCTCCTATGGCTGCTGTCCCACTCTGTACAAAATACTTAAACACTCATTAAGGCAAGGGGCGAGCCTGGAAATAGTACCAGTAGGAGAGTGCTTCAACAGCAAGACTATCTTCCTCTTTTTTCACTGCCTGCCATAATTAAATGATCATAAAGTGAAGTGGTCCCAAAATGAAAAACTTATGGCAAAGCCACTCTGATGCTTAGAAGATGGCTCTTAACAGGGTCCAATTCCCTCCATAGCTCCTCCTCAGGGGAGGAAGTAGAAATGTGGCCTCTTACACCTTATGTCTTACACTGAGGCTAGCACTTCAACCAAAAGTTAGTAGTTAAAAGGGGAAGGCCACCCTCTTCACTGACAGTCTGTGAGATGAGACCTTTGAGTCATGGATTTTCATGCAACAGCCACAAAACAAAACAAAGTAAATGATTTTTGAAACTAACAGATGTTCAGAGTGAAAGGTGAAAGTTTTGTTGGTGAGAAAAGGCTGCTTATTTTGATGCCTCTGCCTAGCCAAAATATTACTTACTCAAACATCCCTACATTTAACCCGCTCTTGTGTATAGATATAGAATAATAGCTGATAGGAGGATATAGAATAATCAAGTGGTTTTAATTGATGTACAGTAGCCATGGACACATTTCTTGCATTGCAGACTGTGGAGTGTAAAATTTGGGGGATTTCTTTTGACAGCTATGATTAGTGCTTCCATCTGTGTGCTTGTGAAAAGTGAGATAGACTGTGCAATTTTAACACTCATCTAAAAGTTGCTTTCCCTTTTTCTCCAGGAGTTCCTCAATATATCCAACTGGTCAAGCACTTCAGCCAGAGTCCACCTTAATTTGCTCTTGAAGCTCAGTGTAGCCAAGATCCAGATTTAATAAGTGACCTTGATTGAGACCTGCCTTAGGACATAAAACTGCAGAAACAGGTCTACATGGAAATGCAGTATTGATCTCTCTCTTCCATTTCAGAATTGAACTAACAGGGAGAGCCAGGATGCTTCTTTCTGCTTATAATGGAAAGACTTTTCGGGTTATGTATAATACATTTTGCAATTGATAATGATACTCGACTGCTGATGAGCAGTTTCTAGACTCATCAGCCTAATTAACATGTATTGGCCACAGTTCAGCAAGTAGTAATTCCAAATTGCCAAACTGGATGTTAGAAAAGGGAGCTAATTTAGCTCTCGCCCAGCTTAGCACTAGCGCCTAAAGTAGACGAAGCCTGCAGGCCGCAGGAGTGAGTTGTAAATGAGCTCGAGGGACATCGCTGAGGATGCGACTGCAAACCCAGCTCGAACCAGCCCTCAAGGACACAGCACACAACGGCCAGAGGTAACCGTCAACCTTGGGATAAGAGAAGGCACCGTGAAGCAGGAACACAGCAACCGTCCCGGGACGTAGACGTGAACCAATCCAGAGGAAAGAGACCACCGACTCAGTAAAGAAGATTGGGAGAGACTGTCACGGGCAGGCGGGGAAATTTCACTGTAAGGAGTATAATTACCCCAAAATTTCTTTGTTTGGGGTCCCTTCCCAGAGGCACCCAGCTCAAGCTGTTACTTTGCTGTACCGTCATTTAAATAAATAATTAAATTCGCTGCTAGACATACGTGAGACTCTGCTCCTCGGAAACCTAGGGTCGGACTGTTTCCATAACACTGGAGCTATTTGCTAGCATAAGCTGTCCACCACAATTTAGTCTCTGTTGATGTGGGTTGTTCCTGCTCTCTGTAGATGTAGTGTCCAGATCTCAGAAAGGTGGCTTTTCCATTAATAAGTCATATACAGAAGGAAGGAGAGAAGTACATTCTTTGTGATTTGCTGAAGTTGGGCTGCTTTGCATTCAACAGAATGAGAAAATATAGCTGGGAAAGATGACAAGAAATCATCTGGCCAAGTCAACAGTGCCAAAGCAGGATCAATTATACTATACCATACTGGACATATATTTTGATAAGATAGATTTAGAAATCACTAATAATGGAAAATCTACCATCTCCTTACACAATTTATGGCAGTATTTCTCAGAGCTATCCTGTTAGAAACTGTTTCCTAACGTCCAACCTAGAACTGCCTTGCTGCAATTTAATTCATTTCTTTTTGTCCTGTTCAGCAAGGATTTGGAGAATATTCCATTTTGTTCCTCTTTGCAGCTACATATACATATTTGAAGACTATTAAATCCCTTCTTCAGAGTTTTTTTTTCCAGAGAAAACTTCACTTCCTTAAATATTTCCCCATAAGTCATGTTTTATAAACCTCTTGAAACATTTTTCTTATCCTCTTTTGGGTCCTTCAAATCAGTCAACATTTGTCACATGATGCAGAAGCTGGGGTATAATATTCCAGCTAAGGTTTTACTAGTGCCAAGAAGACAGAAAATATTACTTTCTGTGTTCATTTTACATTTTCATCCTATCCTTCTACATTCTAGTGTAATTTGCAAATTTAATAACCAGTCTCTATTCCATCCTCCAAGTTGTGAATGAAAATATGAGACAGTACCTGATGTAGGAGAGACTCTAGTGGAACCCTTCCTAATACCTGTTTCCAGCTTGATAGTGAATAATTAATAACTGCTCTTGAGGACCAATTGCCAAAAAGCTTTGTATCCACATAATAACTGTTTAATATAGCAGTTATTAATTTATCAGGGAAAAATATCTAGTAAAGTTTTTGACACTGTCTTACCTAAGTCAAAATATAAGACATCAGTTGCTTTCTGCCCCATCTGCAAGGCCTGTTTCTTTATAATACAGGAAATTAGACTGTCTTGACATAATTTGTCCCTGAAAAATCCATGTTGGCTGCTACTCCTATCTTTGTGTTTAACAGGTACTTACACAAACACTTTGTCTGAGAGACACTCCACAGATTAGCCAAACAGAACAAAGCAAAAATGTTCCAAGAAAAAATGTGCTTTATCTGTTTCTTATTTTCATCAGTTATTGTCCAATTTGATATACTGATTCAGACCAGCTTCCCATTGGGCTTAGCAGTGAATTCCATGGGAGCACTTGCTGACAGCAAACTACCACTTACTGCTGTACTTGAAGAAAAACATACACAGGGGTTCATATTTTAATCATTAATTTCCAGAATGAAGCAGTAGTATTTAAAACTCTTAAACAGGTCTGCAAGTGCTAGCTGACCTCCACAAATGATGTTTATGAAAATATTTATGGAGAATCCCTCCAGTGTATGCAGATGCAGACTTTAAAAGAAATACACAAAATGACCTTGATCCTATCCCAGTACTTGTCCCATTAGTAGTAACATAACAGGAAAGATATCTTACTGTGTAAAACCAAAATTTAACAATGGGAGCATTGTAGAACTCATAGATTTTTCTTCCAACAGGGATGAGTCTGTGCCTGCTCTGAACTTCCTCTTCCTCTTTCTTTCTTGATGACTCTCCATTCCCTCGTCCCAGCATTGCCTACAAGAAAGGACATTTTTGTGTTTCTTTCTTTGTGAAAGATGAATACAGTTATTTTTTGAAATTTCAAAAGGAAACTATTCAAAAGTTCTCTGATTTCTTGATCTTTAGAAAAAAACAGATGACCATAGCTAGGTATAAAATGCTTTGTTCTCAGATTATCTTTTATGTAAGAAGCTACTGTTTAGTACCTTGTAAATTGAAAAAGCAATGCTTTATCAGGAACTGTCAACACCAAGGTAATCCTTGACTGGTGGACAAAAAATAAGATGCAGAGAACATTTCCCCTTTTTGCTGTACTGATTTATTTTCTCCCAGCAGTAGCTTCTTATTGTATACTTATACACAACAAACATACACACAGAAAACAGAGAAGTTTTGAATATACTATTACAAAGGAAAGATCATAAGGTTGACACTGAAAGAGAACAGCAGGGGGAAAGATGAGTTAACGGTTGCTGAACTGGAAGCAATGAAGCTAGTGATGGTTTTTGTGTTGATCACTGGATCCACCTTAGGTGATGATCCCACAGTGAACGTTATATGGATGTAGAGGACGGAGCAGTACAGTTCACTGCAGGATTAAGGCCTTGGATCACAAACTTCCTTCTGCAGTGGTTGTAACTTCTTCCATAATGAAGCTGCAGAGTGCTCATGCGTTGCCTGTGGCTGACTTGATTTCACTGTTACTACAGCAATTCATGCTCCCCGAAGATCTACCCAGAGCTCCAGAAACACATATTTAAGGAGTCCTCAGTAGTAAGTGCATAGCTAACAGGCAAAAGAAGATAATATTATGTTTACTCTTAACTTCACACTCAGCTTCAGAGAGAAGTGGCAGGACTGACTAAACCAAATACTCACTAAAATTAAGGTGTCCCTTTGTATTTAGAATATAGACTAATCTAATAAATGTTCTTTTTTAAAAAAAATTCTTTTGTGAATACTAGACTAAGAGTGGATTTTAGGTTATTGTGTCCTGAGCAAGTTCTTACTACTTAGTTTGTGGCAGCAGATATAGATTGTAGTACTCCTGCACATGAAAGCAACTGCAAGAATTGAGATATAACTGCCCTGTCTAAGTATGCAGGGACTGCACCATGCTGCTTTTATTGAAATGTTTCTATAATGTTTTTCTCCAAGCAGATCAAAACACTTTAGTACTTTTATGTTAACTGAAGCAAATTTTCAACATCCCTGAAGATACTATTGTTCTCAATCACAATTTAAAAACATGGAAAACTAAGCCACTGAGACAACTAACTGTTAAAGAGAACAATGAGCTGCCAGACATGCTGTCTTTCAATGCAGAGGCCCCTCTTTTATCTGTCTCTGTGTTCTCTGATTCAACAGGATGTTCTGCACACACTTCACTAATCAGCTTCAGGTGAGCTATTTGAGCTGGTTCTAGTTCCTTGCAGGAATAGGGGATGATTTATGAGTACAAAGGCCAAGCAATTCCCACTTATTTAAAAGTAAGAATCACAATCTTTCCTTTTCTTCCTTTTTCTGGGCCTCATGTGGAGTCATTCATACAGGGCTTTGGTCAGGTAAAATATTAAATTTTAATAATAAACTGGTGACCACATTTTTTCTTTCAGTCAGTCTAGATATTTGTAACATTACTTACATGTATGATCCTAGATGCCTGCTGTCTAATATTTATATTGCATTTAATTTGCAAATTTATTTTTTTCTCTTGTGTCATTTCTTTCCATCTGGTCCCTTATATTCTTGAATTTGACTATGCACAGATGCTGCCTTTCATATTTTTAACAAAGTAAAACAATGACCCAGGACACAAGTATGACACCAAAACTAACTTGATATCCTCTTAGAACTGCAGCCTACTTTGATGAAGTTATCTATTTCCTTTACCTTTTTATGCCCGTTCAGATTTATAAGTTCATTACCATACATATATAAAACAATGCATGCTTAAAAAAAAAGATGCCCCCTGCTGATTCTCATCGAGCACATAAAACCTCTTAAAGTCTGGCAAGGGTTTCATATAAAAAAAAAAAAGGAAGTGGCTGCTGAGCAGAGGAGATGGTTGAAGGGTTCTCATTAGATAAGCAGATAGTCTGCAAGAACATGAGACCTACTGAATATAATAGTAACAGAGACTATGCAACCTTCACAGAACCTTGCATATCATTACCTGAAGACTACAAAACCAAACTCATTCCCAGATATATATCAAGGACTGGCTATTTGGGGGAAAAAATGGATTATGATCTGAATGTTTTGAAAAATTTCTAGCTTAAGAAATTACTCATTTATTTGCTTCTCTCTACCTCCTGACGCTGTTTTAGGGAAAACTGCCATCTGGTGCTACAGAATTTTCCGTAGCTTTTCATGAGGCTTTGTCTCTGCTGTCCTCTTGCGCTCAAGAATTTTGCAGGAGAGGTAAAAATGAATGCTGGCAGCTTTAATAAAAGAGCAGTGTGGTGCTTTAGTAAAGGGGATTATTTAAGACAGTTTAAATCCTCCACAATTTTATAAATTTCCCATTTCTGAGAGACCCTCAGCTCTCACTGGAATCAGTGAGTTGTAGGTGTTTTTAGGATAATGCTCTTTCAGTACCTGGATTTATGTTTTAGCTCATGGATGCTGGTTTCCTGCTTGTTGTTACTTTCTTGTTGATAAATGATGCTGTAATTTTATCATGTTATAATTATTTCTGAATTAACTGCATACCGTACAATGCTAACCTCTCCCTTCCCCCATGCTAAAGATGGGGAATTGCTCTGCCATGGCTCGGGATTAGATTTGACCTAATGTCCCCAAATGTTAATTATATCACAGTATTAACCATCTGAAAAGCCGCCCTATTAGAAATATACTGAAATAACATAAGTCCCTGCATTAACAGAATAGCTACAATGTTGAATGTGAATAAATGCGTTTCCATTTGAAGGGGGAAGCAATAGGGTGAGAATAACTCAAGACACTGAGTGTAGGTGGCATCTCTTTCTCTAATACACAGTTCTGTCTGTGATTCACTATGAGTCATACAAGGTAAGCCTGACAGCAGTGCAACATGTGAAGTACAGTAGGACTGCATCATTTTAGCCTGGGGGGCTGGGGTTGATGTGTGCATTTCTTTTACATGGAGATTTTCTAATCAGAATTCTGGAGTTTTTTTTCCAGGCATTTTGCTTTATTTATACCCAGGATACTTCTGGGTAGTGTACTTCTGAATTAAAATATGTTATTTAGAGAGCAGCATGAGATCCTATGATATAGTTATCTGTTTTATAATTGAATAACAGGAATTTGAGTCCTGATAATATGACCATAGGCTTTCATTTTATCTTTAGTGAAATGTATGTGCTACTTACAGACTTTCCTAGTATTTACACAGAACTGGTGAGGAAACTTTACATAGCTGGGTGGATATATTATACATCCCTCTGCATACCCCATTGTATCCTACAGTATATACAGAAATTATGCCTCCATGATAATTGTTCCAGGGTTACAGTTCTTTGCCTTGAACTACTGGTAGGGAAAAATGTTTAATGCCTTTGAATTATAAGCATATAAAATGGGATTTTGCACATGCTCAGCAGTTCTTTAAGCTGAATACAGAGAACACATCTGAAACACTAGCTGCAGCCTTAGGAGCTCAATCCTCCAGACTGCTGAACACTGTGAAAGAAGCAGAGAGTGCCAAAGTGGTTGCTTAGCAGCTGTGCAAGACGTTTCCAAACAGCTTGGAGAAATGGAGGAAATTCCTCATTATGGAGAGGGCCAGCACTGACCTAGCACCTTGCAAGTCTCTAAAAAGTCTCAAACTATATTTTTTAAGAAGCCATGAAGGGGTGCCTGCTGTTGCATGGGTGCCTTGAGCAGAGGTAAGAGTGCTGTGAGCGCACTCCTCCCTGACAGAGGTTGGTGAGAAGTGGGCGAGATGGAGATGGAGGAACTCCAGATTCTTGGACCACTGGTGCCCATAGCAAAATGATCTTCAAAATGACACCAAAACGCCCTTAAGCCTGTTAAAAGTATCTTCATATGCTTATATTCCCATGTGTGAAAGTAAGCACATGCAGCATGGCATAAAATAAAAATAAGAAATGGCCATTTAAAGTTCATCAGAATTTTAATTTGGCTGTAAATGGAAACCACTGTGGCAATTCTAGATAAGATGGTTCATGTATTTGTCCCACTTAGCCATAATTGGTGTGATACTGATGATGCTGACATGCCGCTAATGGAGGCCACATGGGATGCTGTATAATAGCTTTTTTAGAAAATAAAAAAACCCTAGTTTGCTCTCACCTTCTGTCCCTGTCCTGGGACAGAGAGGTATAAGCGCCGACTCGGTGACCGCAAGCCATGTCCTGTGTGGTAGCTCTCTGTCCTCAGCTCTTTCAGATGCTACTGTTAATGGACAGGCAGACCTCTAAGGTAACCCCATCATGGAAAACAGGTCTCAGTGTTATGGAAAAACAGTCTCTCTTACAGGCAGCTTTCCTTCTTGCAGATGAAACAAAGCTTTTTGCTTTAGCACAGGTGGTCTGTAACCCCCCACCAGCACCCACTGACCTTGCACAAGTGCTGATGTTCAAAGTTTCCCAACTTAAGAATTGCATTTTTCCTGATTTAATATTTAGCTACTTTTACTAGAGAGAAAAGGCTAAGCATACATAACATGAATAAGATGCATATCATCTCAAAGGCCAACACTAACCAACTTTGCTGTTGTTGGAATGTCCTAACTCAGACTTTTAGTGCTCTCTATGAAAGCCCAAACTCCTTATTTGATGTGGGAAATTTGAACAAAACAACCAAAACAACAAATAAAACACCCTCTAAATGGCTTTGATGTGTTATTCTGTATTCTGAAATAAGATAATTTACCAAGGAACTCTAATGTCCTAACTATAGGGCACTGAATAAGGATAAGGGCAATCCTAGTTATAGCTTCCAGAATCAGCATTATCTTTGGATGAGGCTAGACCATTGGGTTTTTTGACCAACCTAAAAATCAG